GCATAAGATGCTCGTCTCCACTCATGCTCAATTTTCCGTTGGCTATGCAACCCATTCACGGCCTCGTGGATTCCACAAGTCCTACGGCGTACTACGCGTGTGCATGAAAGGGGGAGTATACAGCTTGTGTGTGTCGAGCAATCCCTCGACTAAGAAACCATATACTGCCAATCACTATTATCTAGCGTCGGTCGGAACCAGAACCATACGACGCTGTAACCGGTTCTTCCAATGAGCACCTCGCACAAGTCGAACTAAAACAGTAGTCATCGGAGTTCATGGTGATCCCAAGAGTCTGGCTACTGGATCCCCATATCCTTCAACGTAACAAAGTACGGTGATGCGAGAAATCCCCAACGCACGAAGAAAAGTCTTATCTAAAAAAGAAGAAAAAAAGTCCACCACCTCAAACGCTCCCCCAAACAAGGTCAATCCTAGAGAAAACATACATACACACTTCCAAAACTCATCTTGCGTCTCGATGACGCAATCCCCAAATCATAGAAGTCGCACTATTCCAGTCCGCTCCCTTTTCCCCCGCAAGCATTACGCACGTAAGGCCCCAAATCCCCCCGAACTTAGTAACCCTTCATTAAAGCCACGTGCCCCCCAAAACCGTCTAGCCAAAAAGTTAACTATCAATGCTCCTGCGTATGCGTATGTCACATATGCACATCATTGAAACTACTCGGTATCCCGAAACGCCCTCCACACGGGTATGTACAAGGATGTACCCCTTCCCTATAACACGACAATGAATATAGTAAGCCACGTGAACAAAGTGTGGCGTGAGGGACGGGAGGAGGGGGGAAAGGAGATCTAGATTGTAGCTTAATCGAAGACAAGCACGGAAGCTTAATTAGAGGGCGTTGGTTATTCAGGGCTAGCTTGGTCTAACGTGCCGTCTATCATGGTGGTTAGATGAGGAAAAGGAAAAGATCAGAGGCGGTTTGTGTCGATCAAAGTATGACTATTTTTGGCTTCTCGTCTGCCAACATCATCAGTTTGTTCATTGAGTAGAATTGAGCCACATTCAATTCCTAACCACCAAGCTGTTGGAAGATACCACTTCATCTCCAAGACTCTATACCCTTCTTTCTATAATTCCACAATGCAAAAAAACAACTGCTCTGGTTTTTCATTTCCTACATAACCCAACTCAGTTCTTCTTCGATCCCCTCCCACCCTTCACACTCTTCTTCTTTCCCTTTGCAATCTCCGCCCCTCGCCTCCCTCCCGCAATCATCACTCGCACTTTACTAACAGGCACCACACCCACAACCTCCGTCTCCTTCCATCCACGAATCAGGTCAATTTCCTTGGGCCAGATGCGCTCGACATCCTGACTATTCTTATCAACAATCTTGGCATCTTTACCCGCATTATCCCAGATGGCCAGCACCTCTTTAACAGCTTTGCCGCGCTTCGTGGACCCAGGCTGCATTTTGGCCTTGTACTTGTAAGTCGAGAGGGCGGACCAAGGAGCACAGACTGGGATTGCCGAGATCAGCTCGTCATTCGGTAACGGGCGGCCAGTGAATGCATCGAGATTTTGCAGATTTGTTTTTAGGACTTCGTCGCCTTCGTCATCATCTTCGGCATTTTCGAGTGCACGGAGACGGGCCTCTTCGGCAGCCTTACCCGCAGCTTGAGCACGAAGATGTTGTTCGCGCCGGCGTTGCTTGTCGGCTTGTGCTTGCTCTTCCTTCTGACGCTTCTCCTGTGCCGCGGCTTCCGCAGCTTGCTGGCCAGACTTGGAACCCAAAAGCCGCATGGCCAGTTCACGATCTTCCTCGTCTTGCGCTGCATATTTCGCTGCCTGCTTTTTCGCCTTTGCACGTTTTCCACGTGGGAGGGGGGCATTCTTTTGCTTGTTCATCTGCGATGTAACAGTTCCATCCACCTTTGTAGGTGCCTTAGCGCTACCACCCTCTGCGGAATCACCTTCATCTTGATCAGCCCCATCAGCTGCAGAAACTGCATCAGATGGCACTTGAGGCAGCTCTTGAAGCTGACCCTTCCTCGCTAGGCGGCGCTCTCTCGCAGATAGTTTTCCGCGTCCTGTAGACTTCGATATCGGCTCAGTGTCAGCTATTGAGCCTTCATCTTCAGGTGGTTCTTCCTTCGCAATCACGCCATTATTTTCCCCAGGTTTTGCATGCTCAGCACCCCCTTTACCAACGACAGGCTCGTCCTCATCAGAGTCTTCTTTAGCATTCCTTGTGGATGATTGAAGAGGATTACTCCTTGGAGCTGCAGCTTCGGACTCGGCATCACTCTCTTCAGTGTGTTCCATCTTCGCATCTGGGAAATCGTCATCAGAGTCTGAATTAATCTTTGCGTCCGGGAACTCGTCATCATCGCTCTCATCAGTCTTCGCAGCTGCTGCTTCTTTGGACTCGTTCGCTGGCTCGTCAGCCATTTCGGCAGCAGAAACTGCAGTCTCCTGCACCCGATGCTTGTGATGGTTCGCCTTGCTTGAATCACTGATTTCAAACATGACTGCAAGTCCAACCACAAGTTGAGCTGGTGGTAAAAACTCTTTCTTTCCCTTGATATTGAACATGCCGGCAGGGAGAAATTCCCCCGTCTGTCCAGTTTTGCTGACTTGATCACTACGGACCCACCATGCCGACATGACCGCCTTCGAGTCCCATGCATCAGATGTACATATACTAAGGTTTCCGGCTTGCGATAAGGTCGATGGTGGAATAGGGGCATCCGGGGTGTCTGGTTTGTTCTTGATGATCATAGGCATGGCGCCTTTCAGGTCTGCATGTACATACATGTCTCCCTTTCGCAGGAAACGACGGTATATGATCTCGTTCTGCTGTGCATCCTTGCCTCCGAGAACCAGGTAGCCGTCTGACGAGATGAAGTAGATGAACTTTTCGAACCAATGCTGTTTGCGCACCGGCCGCAGCACTTCCTTCTCTTGCTTCAGTCCCTTCTTTAAATCTTCAGCTACCTTTTTCTCGTGGCTTTTGAGCGCTTTTGTAGATGCTTGAAGGGTACGGCCTTCTTTGTCAGCAGCCGTCTTCTTTTGGTCGAAATACTCGGTAGAGTTGGCCCAGGCGCTTAAACCAAGATCAATGTCGATAGCTAGTTGTGGTCGAGCCACTGGTTTTGGTAGAGAAGTCTTTCTAGGGCGATCGTCCTCGTCGTCAGTATCCTCGCTCACAGAGCTCGTCTCGTTGCCCTCGTCTTCCTCTTCTCCACCTTCTTCCCAATTTGTTTCGTTGAGAAGGAGGGTGATCGTATTCTCATGCAATTTGAGCGGTAATCTGATCAATTGCGCCACGGCGTTACCAGAGTTTTGTTCGCGTTCAATCAAACGCTCAATGTCGACCCAGTCCATGCCTTGCCTGATCAACCCATTTACAGCTTCAGTGGCTTCGGTCACGCGATGGACATTTGCCAAAATTGCTTCTGCTTTGCGAAAGTTCAATTCTTGCACTTGCTGTAGCCCACCGATGCGATCCTCGTGTTCTTTGCGCGCTTTCTCTAGCTTCTTTTTGGCTTGTTGTTCACGTTCTGTCAGTTTCGACTCAAGTTTCTGCCCTTCTATTGACGAAAAGAACTCATCTACTGCCTTGTTGAAACCATCAAACTCCAGGAAAGTATAGTCGGTGTTCTCAAATTGCTGTGGCCGGAAAGGATGAAAGTCATCGTAGAGAAGACGCGTTTTATCAGTAGACTCGTCCTCGGGCTTTGAGGCTGATGGATTGGGCTTTGCGAGAATATAGCCCTTGATCTGGTCGGTCTTTGTGATCTCATCTGTGATTTTTCTTGCGTCTCGTAGCACCTCGACTAGCTTTTCCACGAGCCCATCATCAGCAAGAACCTCTTCCGGTTTCAAGGACGAGTCGTAGCTGGCAACATGAAGCGCATGATCGACCAGTAAAGGAGGGCATTCTGTGATAGAAACAGCGAGGGCTTTTCTTAAAGAATCCTTTCCTGCCTTCTTTGCCTTCTTTCCTGCTGCAACCGGCTGATCCTGCTGTTTGTCGACCGCCTTCTGTAGCGCTTGACGCACCCTCTCATTGGTGAGCTCTGGAGCACCCCCGTAATTTTGGCGCAAGGTAAGATTGTATTTCAAGCCAACCCTAAGTTTCTCATGTTCCTCTCCCTCATCCACGTTTCGCAGAAGCGACAGCACGTTGAGGTCGGCGTCAGTTAGGATGATGTTTCCGCCGGCGTAGAATTCTAAGTAGAGCCGGTACAGTCCATCGGAGAACTGGAACTCCAGAATACGATCGGTGCCTATTTGGGAAATTGACGTGACACGCCTTGTCTTGAGGTACTTGCGCAGTTTTGCGACGAAGCCCGAAGGGGCCGCAGCCGTAGTACGCGCATATTCCGTGAGGTGGCAGCGGAAGCCCGAGTCGATGAGCAGCTGTTCGCGGTGGTCGGGTTTGTGGAACTTGATGAGAAAGATTCTCTACGCATGCGGGAGTAAGCGGATATGCATATCACCGGTTGCGACATGTGCGGTACATACAGAGCTTAGATCGTAAACATTGGTGACTCTGAGAGAAGTAAGTTTGGCAGAAAGCTCATGGGCTATGACCTTGTGAGTCAATTAGTAAATGCTGTTTGTAGTATAACTCGCAACAACTCACCTTGACGTCCAAGCTGGAGAATCTCTGCTTCATGGTTGTGTGTCGTGTGCAGAGTCTGTGGTTAGTGGGGTTCGGGGATTGATGGTGGGATGCGGCGATGACGAAGGTGCTCAAGTAGCGCGATTGCAAGGGTCATGCAAAACGGACCTTTGTTCCTGGCCCAACGCTTACTAAGGGAATCCTCGACACCAGTACATACACTTGTATCACAGCGGCCTGCCTATGGCGTCAGTGGAAGCAGAATACGGTCTTGATTAGGCCTTTTTTCTGGCGTAATGCGCTACCCACTCTATCATGCAGCACGTCACGATTCATAGCATTCGCAAAGCGGCAACTGTATCCTCAACTCCAGCAACGCCATGCCCAAACCAAAGAAGCTCATAGACCCTGCCGTATCCTCTCTGCAAGCTGCCTCTTGCCAAACTCCCACGCATTCAAGAAACCTTGTTCTGAAAGGTCAATGTTCTTCATCGACGTCATGTCTTGCGCCGGGGGCTTGCTAACGCGCGAGGCGACAATGACGGGGTCGGTCTCGAGGATGATGCCGTCGTCTACCAATTCGTCGATAGCGAGAGACTATTGTGGTCAGCCAAAGGAGGGATGCGATGTGTAAGCACAGGGATGCATACCACGAGGTCGTAGTTTTCGATAACAGTGCGCTTGTCAACCGAGTTCCTGCCACGTGTTAAATGGTTACCCAATTCCAGTCCTTCCTATGGCTACGTACTTGAGGAGGATGTTGAGCGAGTCTCTCAGGGCGAGGACAACGCTGATCAGAATTAGTACTGGGCCAGTCGCCTACACACTCGTTCGACATGACAGTACCTGTAGAGCAGAACCTCGTTCTCATCGGCGCTTCCCACTACATACAACATTACGTCCGACTCCATCTTGAACACAATGACTTTCTGGTCGTATAGTATAATGTCGGTCGTCTGCTTTGCTGTCTTCTCTATAATAGGTGTCAGACCAACATGGGCGCAGCATTGGCCTCGCAGGTACTACACACCCAGAAGTCCCTTCTCGAAAGCCTTTTGGTCCTTAACCGTCTTGTATGCAATCTGGCCGGGGTAGTCGCTCTGTTGGCCGGTCGGTGGGTGCGGGTTGGAGTAGTACTTTGTCAAGATGCGGGAGCCATCGTCGATTGCGAGCACCAGAATCGCCTGGACGCTGAAGAGGGAGAGAGGGCGCGACATGTTGGGTGAGGTTTCTGGGTGTTTGGTCGTGTCGGGCAGTAATGGGGACAAGTAGTAGCTTGTGGATGGGGGGTTTTGGTAAGATAGGTGTCTGCTTGCGGAGAAGCGGCCAATCACGGAGGTCGTGGGCCCTGGGCTTAGCGTGCAGTCTGAACTTTTGACATGTCGGCGGGCGCATCGTCGACATTCACTGTCCGCGACATTGTCCTACTGCCACTCAACCGACATGCACAAAATATCGAGAACGTCGCTGGCGTCTCTCGTCTGCCCATCTGCGCCGTTCCTTGCGCCTCGTCTCCTGCGTACCGCAATCCCTGCCGCCGCCGTCGCAACAACCTCACCATGCCCGCACTTTGCCCGCCTCCAGAGGGCGATGTATGCGACGGCGAAGCAAGCCACAGGCACCCCACGAAAAATTACGACCGAAAAAGGAAAGCGAATGCCTAGGAACCCACCATCCACCGAAGCTGAAGCAAAGGTGAGTCGTACCGATTTCTTGGTCCGGCACACATATTGATGATTTTATTTAGACTGCCCGCCTAGTCAACCAATTCCGGAATGCCTGTGAAGCCCGCAACGTCGAGTTGATCATGGAACTCTATCCGGCACTCATTGCAGCAAATCTCCTCGACAGCTATGACACCCGCCGTATTACACAAGCCCTGCACGTGCGCATACGGAACGAATATGTTCCCAGTAAGCGATCAGATCTCTTTCCCTTCGTTCAGCAAGTAGTTGGCGACATTCGAAGAGGCATTCTTCAGCCGCATCATTATGCCTTCGTCCACCTTTTCGGCATATATAAGGACTGTGCGCGCTGGGATGAGGGGTATACGCTCTGGCAATGGCTAGTCCAGCAAGACGAGCGCTATGTGTCGCAGGCCGCTTACGGTGCTGCTATTGAGCTCATGGCATATGGCGGTATCATGAGACTGCCAGACTTGGAGGAACTGTACGCCGATGGACTGAAGCGCTTCCCTGGTACATTCGCAGAGTACCATCTGTCACCAGACGCAGTCGTTCCCGACAGGACTCAACTCACTACCATTGCCGGCATTCCCACTATTCTGCTGCAAGGCATCCTCACTGCACGAATACTGGCTCGCGACTGGAAAAGGGCGTACCTGGCCTTGGACACTGCACTGCGCATTTTCCCCACCCAGACCCCTCCGCGCTATTTTGAGCTATTCATGACTGAGAGGCCGGTCAACGAGGCATATACAGCATTTATGCTAGCTTGCCGTGCTGGCATATGCCTGAGACCAACCCACGTTACTGCTCTCCTCACAAAACTGCGCGCTGCTATGGGTGCGTCTCGTTCCATGGCTGATAGCGTGATGCTCCTCCGGGCCATTGCAAACGCTATATATGGCTATTTGGAGGCTGGTGGACAGCTTCAAAGTATCCATGTTGGCTCATTTCTCCGCTCTTTTGAGCTAATACTGCCTGAACCTGCTGCTGGTGAGGATTATATTGGAGAAGCAGCAGAAATGCGCAACATCTTGGTGGTAACTGCGCACGAGATTGTATCAAACCTTATTCAGGCTGGTATGCCTCCTCAAATTCAGCCGTTTGAAGCTCTCATCTCGATATCTGGCAAGCTACGCGTACCAAACTTACTCGGCACTACCCTGGAAGATATCCAAGCAGCCGGTCTTGAACTTGGGGCAATCGGAACTCGCAGCGTCGTCACATCTGCTGGCCTTCTTAAGAACAAAGATTTGATCGAAGAATATTGGCAGAAAATCGTCTCAACTGCGGAAAAGAATAGTACGATAATACCTTTTGAAGACTGGATTACTTTCACAAAGGCTTGCCGAAGGGCCGACCATGCAGACTACTTCCGTGGCCAGTTGTTGAAGCTTCCACACGCTATTACAGAGAGAATTGAACGTGTCATTATTCAGCAAATCGACCTACCAGAACCCCCATCTTCCAGCCTAGACTCAAGCCAATCCATGACTCTTGAGCAGCTGCAATCCGAACTTTCACTCCTCAAGACCCAAATGAACAACATCGAAACAGCCGTAATGTCCGGCCAACCACTCGATCTTCGCACAACCCCTTTCTATATGCACATTGACCCCGGGTACCCCTCTCTCGGCACCGAAGAAGACTTACGGCAAATTTACGACAACTTTACAACCGACCCCCACCAGCCTCCGCCCCCGCCGCCCGCAGACGGCTCCCCCATCCGTGCAGCCCTAAGCCCAACCGGCATACCGCTAGACGACCTCCGCTTCCGCAACTGGGTCACGATCCACGAAATGATGGACTCTGCAGAGTCCTACGAATCCGACCTCCAATTCGCCCTCGACGCCGCCATCAAAGCCGGCGAGCCCCTCAAGGGCGCCCCCGAAATCCTCCGTCTGCGCAAAGAAAATCCCAAACTCCTTTCTGGCCAGGATTTAGCAATTAGGATTAGAGAGTTGCGAACCAGTAATTCGGATGCTGCTAGGTTCTTTAGGAAAGTGGGGACAGAAGGTGCGCAAGTTGAGGCGGAGATGAGGTTGCGCAAGCATGTAGCAAAGGATGAGGGCGAGAGCGTTGTTTCTCTTGGAAAGGGAACGCCGAGATTGGTGTATTATGTTGGGTTGGAATCGGATCAGGGAGCGCCTAGTGGTTCTAAAGGGTGGACTAAGGTTCGGAAGGTGAAGATTTCGGATGGGAAGGGTGGAGAGGGTACTGAGGAGTAGATGAAGTACAGTGGCAGGGGCGATGGGAAACGGATTTTTGCTCGTGGGAACTTGACTTGGTTCCAAAAAGCGTGTAGATAGATACCCTTGGTGTATAGTTTTGTAAAACAATGTATTACGAATAAAAGATACTGTACTTATATCCAGCTACTACCATTTTCCACTTCCTATAGCAGTCACATTAAAGGAAGATAACACATTTCTCCGCTTAGACTACTCGCACGAGATGGTACTCTCAAATTTTGTTTCAAAATGCAAAGACGAAAAGAAATGGAAAAACACGTCGATGTCTTTACCCCCCAGTATTAAAGTCAAACTGAAACTCGCCCTCATCGCCCAGCATACCAGGATCATACATACCATTTCCCGCCGTAACGAGACCCTCAAACTGGCCCCAACTAGCCAGATCCGACCAGTCGAACAGATCAGGTCCGAACACAGGAGGGTTGTACAGAGTATCCTGGAGACCTGGTATAGAAGATTGATTCGCGGGGTCGGGCTGGGGTAGGGGCTGGAGAAGTAGAGTGGGACGCTCGGTGTCGAGGTTTGTAGATGATGAGGGGACCTGTGTAAGATTAGCAGTGCAGATTCCATCTCTGCATCTCAGCCTCTGTTGAAAACATACCTCATCCGCACCCTGCGCACCTGCCGTTTCCACTGGACTCAACAGCCTCGTGGATTGCCGTTCAGCCTCGACTCTCAGTTCCTCTAGCACGAGACAGTACCTGCGTGCAAGACAATCTGTATCTCGCACTGTTTCTAGCTGTTTCTGGCATGCAACACCCTTTTCGTAGTAGCCTTCGCTTTGGACGTTGTTCTTGACACCGAGACCCTGCTGGATGCGATGGATGTACAAGACGACAACGGCACAGAAGGCGTAGTATTGTGTGAACCAGAAGGAGCGGAAGAGATTGGATGATGTGAAAACATCGTTTACTACACGGGTAATCGCCATGGCGGCTTCGAGGCACGCAGTTATGTTGGGGGTTGTGTCGTATGTTTTGTTTGGATTGGTGCCCCAGTTGGGGTGTGTGGGCATATGTGTTAAGCTTGCAAAGTCTCTAAGTAAGAAGGGACGATGGATGAGTAGGATCGCATGGTGATATGCTAGGTTCAATACTGAGCGCTGGCGTTGGAATATCGGGATTAACGATTGGCTTTCAATGCTTCCTTGTGGACTGGAGCCCGCTAGAAACCCAGATAGCGAATTACGCCATGCATGCAGATCTGCGGTGTATTTTGCTGAAAGTTCAATGCGTCTACCTAGGCTTGGAGGCCTAATGGAATAGAGGTCTCGAAGAACAAGTGATACGATTCGAGTTAGCTTGATGTGCTCAACTGGGGCAGTCATGATGGAATGGGCGTGTGGAGGGGTCGGTCTAATATACGATTGAAGGAGGTCATTGTCATTGACAATGGTTGGAAGTTCCTTGATATCAATATTAGCAAAGTGAAATGTCCCTGATAAGGAAAGTGCCTACCTGGTCGATGTCTTCATCTTTGAAAGTCCGCGGGCGACCAAGAGCAGCAGCGAGGTACTTGTCAAGAGAGTACGCGCACCAAAAGACTCGTCTTCGACTTTCGAGCTCCACATAGTCGCTGGTTGTAGGGTCGCATCTCCTACCGCGATTCAAGCCGATGGCAAGCATCAAATGTGAGAGCGTACCGAAAAGGCTCCAGCAGTGGTTTATCCGTGATTGTGTTAGAAGGTAGAAGCATTGCAACAGCCGTGCTTGTACACTTGCCAATCTGACAGCACCACGTTCTTTCGATAGCTGGTGTTCAGATGCAAAGAAATAGCGGGCACTACGCCTCATCAGTTCGGCACTAAAATCAGGACTAAGACAAATCTCACCTGTTCTCTTGTATAGTACTACCTGGAGGCATATAGGCTTGTGCTTGTGCAAAGACTACCATTAGGAGCGCCGCCTTTGCCTTACCATCCTCCCTACCTCTTATTTCACCGAGTGTATCGTAAAACTCATCTAGCAATTTCTCGATACTTGGCCGATGCAGAAACCGGTGGGTGGGAGCAGCATAGTCAAAATACCGTTCTACGAGCCTTTGCGCGTCAGACTTGGGTGGGAGGAAGAACAGGGATTGGTCAAATTCTGGCAGCGGAGCATCTCCAAATGTAAATATTGTCGAGTCATGAGAGAGTGAAGAGCTTTGATGAAGACGCCTCTGGATACGGATAAGAAAGGATACGGCACTTGAAGAGCCAACATAGTGGCCTTCTTGGTCTCTTTGCCCCCCTTGTGGTACTGGGGAATCTCTGGTAGAAGAACGGTTGATATACTCGGTAGTCATAGTGAGAGTGCTGGGATTGGCATTGTTGGTATGAGTAAAGGTCGGCGCCTCCATGGGAGAAGAGGGGCTTGGGTATATTCGTGGGTATTGTATCGCGGAAGCAGCTGGTTCTCCTGCTGGAGAAGCCTCGGATGTTGAGATCTTTCTGACCACTTGGGTTTGTGGGTCCAAGGCCATTGCAGCCTCATCGACAATTACTGATGGAAGCCTTCCTCGCGTATATGATGCAGTGAATTCACAAGGCAAGCCTGACTTTAGACATAACGCGCACGGGCACCTCCCTGTGCACCTTACTTTTTTCCTGTATGGAATGTTAGTGTATGTACTATAACGCACGTCACGTGCACGCTGGTTATCCTCAAGCTCACTTCTTACATCGGTCACAAGCCCTACTGACCCTACTCCTTTCTTTCTCCTCTCTTCTCCTTTTTGCGGTCGCCATTTTGCGGTCGCCCGAGCCTGCATTGTTCGGTATGGCTGTCGCTGTGGCGTCAATGCTATTGGTAGACGTCCACGTGGACGATCCATGCCTCGAACTGTTGCCCGGGGAGCACCCCTGATGTGGGCTAACGTCCTCCATAGTTGGGGATGACAGAAAGGCTTGGTTACCAGACGTTTCCGAATGTTTAAAAGGCGGAATCAGGAGCTTCAGGCCAGGTCGGATAAGAGCTGCGAAAATAGCCGGATGTGCCGGAAAAACTGTGCACTAAGCCGGAAAGGGTATCGAGGGAACATGACTGTGCTACCACATGTACGAAGTCTTGAAGTTATTACTATTTGGATCTAGATTTTACTCGATTAACTAAGTTGCAGTAGATTATTGTCGTTTCAGGAGTGGTGAGTTCGGATAAATCCTCCTCCAAGTACATACATATGCTTGTGTAGAACGCTATCTGCCACCCGCTGCGAGCTGTTCACAAATGCGCTATCTTCATTATTGCTGGCACAATGATACATTTTTACTTTACTAGGATATTCATGCCGCACTTTGGTTAGACAACGTAAGAACTATTTAGTATGTGGGAGCATCTAGACTACATCTTCAAAACACACATCTTTTCAATACAGTCGTTATTTTGTGCTGTTGTGAGCAAATTTTTTATTTATTTTGATCGTGAGACAATAAAGTAAGATAAGGAAGAAACGGGTCAGACCAATAACTGAAGCGTGCCACATGTGTTTGTAGTAGAGCTGTCTGTGAATTGTGCTGATGTGCGATGGGGAGCCATACATTGCTTTGGCCGGAGATATGTCGGCTTTGCCGGCATCGAAACTTACTGTACAAACTATCTTTTAGCCATGAACTTCACAAAAACGCCGGAGATAGTAAGCACAGGACGAGGCAGACTCCGAACGAACAAGGGTCAAATGCAGGGATGATGCTAACAAGCTTAGTCGGGCATGGAAGCCGGTAAGAATTTTGCAATGCCCGGTCAAGACATGGTACGATTCACCGAAAACCGCACCGACGGAATGTTTTTTTAAGTTCCATACAAATGCCACCAGGGTAGTGCCTAAGGTATGCCAAGGTGTCGGATACTATGGAGCCATCTCTTGCGTGCTTGCCCAGGCTTGGTTGGAGCTGAGATAGTCCGGTGGGTACCCCCATGCAAACTCTTAGCGAGATGATGCTGTCGAGCAGTAGTCCAAACTTGATTGCAATGCGGGCGTTGTTCTACAGTACAACACGTATGGAACATAGTAGAATGTTGCCTGAAGTAATGGTCTATCTCTTGAATCCCACGTGTGTTATCTTGGTAAGTGCCTAGAATATTCCGTAATCGAAATGGAAGGTGCGGAGTAGAAAGGACCCTGCCATAAGGCCGTGGGTGGGGCTATCCAGTGGTTGTTGAGTCCCGTGACTATCAATGCACCCTTGGCACCGCAAGTCAAGCCACTCAGTGTATGGGAGTGGCAGGGAGGAAATCAAGAGGCCGCCTTGGAGCCAGGCCTGGCGGACACCCTGGACAGCACCCGCCCGACAAGTCGATAACAAGCTTCACCGTTGGACAAGAGCAGTGACGCGCCATCAGCTGCTTCTCTTCGAACTGACCTTGGCGCAGATTTCAATGCATCCAGCTCTTGGCTGAGAGGTTGGGTGAATGCTACTAGCAGGCTCTGCCGTTTGGTAGGCTTGGAAGCCGGCCCATATGACGTTGGATCTGTGGCGTAAGTGTGGTTCTGGAGCGGATCTCGGCACCGTCTGCGGGCACGCCGAGAGTTTAGTTTTGGCTCGGCGGACAGGAAGCGAGCGGGAAGCTTGGCTCGCCCCAGTTTGCGCGCCACTCCATTCACCCTCCCCCCGTCGGTGAACGCTCGTCACCAACCCCGCTGTCGTCATACTTGATAAAATCTCACATCCAGAACATTCAAGCCGGATTGTGGTCAGACGTATTGGGCAGAGTATCCATGGCCACACGCACCGCAAGATGGTGGGTGCCATGGCAAGGCGGCTCTGATGCATATGTAATGTACGTAGGTGAATGCATGCAGCCATGCCGCACATTGTTGGACACTGCCGACCCCGAAGGTGACGTCCTTGCACCGGCCCCAAGATATCTCCAACCATGCCAAGATGTCGATATCGCACGGTTCTTGGCTTTCGCCATGCGTGTGCCGCTTGCATCTCTCCCCACGGGTGCTTAAAGGTAGCAGAGCCCCCGCAGCGGGAATGCTTGACTCCTCACCTTTCTTCTTAGCACCCAGAAGCAATCAAAATGGGCAAGAAGCAACCCTCCCTCGAGGGCCACAAGTCTGGCCAGGCTAACGACCCCCTCTCCAAGCCCGCCCACGCCCTTACCTGGAAGCAGGTGGTTGAGGAGGTCAAGTGCAATGCTGAAGACGGACTTACCACTGCCGAAGCAAAGTCTCGACATGAAAAGTATGGCAACAATGATCTCGGCGACGATGGAGGAGTGTCGCCGGCCAAAATTTTGCTAAGACAGGTCGCCAACGCTATGACACTGGTAGGTCAATTGCCATCACTGCGAATCAGAGACGGCGAAGGCTAACCCAACGCAGATTCTAATCGCAGCCATGGCTGTCTCATTTGCTATTGAATCATGGATTGAAGGTGGTGTAGTAACTGCCATCATCCTGCTCAACGTTATCATCGGATTTGTGCAAGAGTACAATGCTGAAAAGACCATGGACTCGCTCCGATCCTTGTCTTCGCCTACTGCCACCGCTGCCCGAGACGGAAAAACGGTTACGATCCCGACTATCGAGGTAGTCCCTGGTGATCTTATCGAGTTGAAGACAGGTGACACTGTCCCAGCGGATATTCGGTACGTCATTGCCACGCTAAACTCAATTTTGGTGAACACACTACTAACACGCACACAGCATCATTGAGGCTTTGAACTTCGAGACCGACGAGGCCCTGCTTACCGGAGAATCACTCCCTGTATCCAAAGATGGCGATGCCGTCTTTGACGAGGATACTGGCCCTGGCGACCGTCTTAACATTGCCTACAGTTCCTCGACTGTCACCAAGGGACGTGCTCGCGGTGTTGTTTTCGCTACTGGCATGCACACTGAGATTGGATCTATCGCCATGTCCCTTCGACAGAAGGGTTCGCGTGTCCGAGAGGTCAAGCGCAAGCCCGATGGAAAGGCTAAGCCGCATCGCTATGCCCAGGCCTGGTCGTTGACTCTTGCTGACATGGTTGGCCACTTCCTTGGTGTTAACGTCGGCACTCCACTTCAAAAGAAACTCGCTCGCCTCGCGATCCTCCTGTTTGGTGTTGCAGTCGTCTGCGCTATCATTGTGCTTGCCGCTAACAGCTTCTCGAACAACAGCGAAGTTATCATCTATGCGGTTGCTACTGGTCTCTCTATGATCCCGGCTTCTCTTACTGTCGTCCTGACCATCACCATGGCTGCTGGTACAAAGCGCATGGTGCAGCGTCACGTAATTGTGCGCAACTTGAAGTCTCTCGAGGCTCTTGGTGGTGTTACCGACATTTGCTCCGACAAGACCGGTACCCTTACACAAGGAAAGATGGTTGCGAAGAAAGCCTGGATCCCCGCCAAGGGAACTTACTCTGTTGGACAGTCTGACGAGCCGCACAACCCTACTGTCGGGGCTCTGTCTTTCAACCCCAAGCAACCCCGACACATTGACGCTGACATGGACGAGAAGACTTCGACCTGGGAGGAGCTTCTCCAAGACAACCCGCATTTTGTAGACTACCTCAAGGTTGCATCACTTGCTAATCTGGCCCACGTTCACCAGACTGACGAGGGCCAATGGAATGCACGAGGTGACCCCACGGAAATCGCTATCCAGGTGTTCGCATCTCGCTTCAAGTGGAACCGTCTCGAACACACCGGTGGTGACACACCTGCTTGGAAGCAACTCGCTGAATTCCCCTTCGACTCCGACGTTAAGAAGATGTCTGTCATCTTCGAAGAAACTGCTACGAACAAGAAATATGTCTTCACCAAGGGTGCCGTTGAACGAGTCATCTACTCATGCACACGCGTATTCACCGACGAGAACGATGCTGGCGTTGAGCTGGACGACGACTACCGCGAGGAGATTTTGGCCAACATGGAATCGCTCGCCGCCATGGGACTGCGTGTCTTGGCTCTCGCAAGCAAGGAATATGATGGACCTTCCCCTCAAAAGGGCGAGGAAATAGCACGTGAGGGAATCGAGCAAGATCTCATCTTCCGTGGTCTCGTCGGTTTGTATGATCCCCCTCGACCTGAAACGGCCGGCTCTGTTCGTCAGTGCCAGAAGGCGGGCATTGAAGTCCACATGCTTACTGGTGACCACCCTGGAACTGCTCGCGCCATTGCTATTGAAGTTGGTATCGTGCCATCGAACATGGGGACTCTTCCCAAGGAAACGACGGACGCCATGGTCATGACTGCATCCCAGTTCGACAAGCTCACCGACGACGAAATCGATGCTCTCCCACTTCTCCCACTTGTCATTGCTCGTTGCGCCCCCAACACCAAGGTCCGCATGATTGACGCACTCCACCGACGAAAGGCTTTCACCGGTATGACTGGTGACGGTGTCAACGACTCTCCATCTCTCAAGCGCTCGGATGTCGGTATTGGAATGGGTACTGGATCCGATGTCGCCAAAGACGCCTCTGATATCGTTCTGACCGACGACAACTTTGCATCTATTCTCAACGCTATCGAGGAGGGCCGCCGCATGTTTGACAACATCCAGAAGTTCATTCTGCACTTGCTCGCTCAAAACATTGCGCAAGCATGTGTGTTGCTGATTGGTCTTGCGTTCAAGGATGAGAGTGGACTTTCCGTCTTCCCTGTCTCTCCCGTTGAAGTCATGTGGATCATTATGATTACCTCGTCGCTTCCCGACATGGGTCTTGGTTTCGAAGTTGCTGCACCAGATATTCTCAACAGACCTCCACAGAGTGTAAGTTTCCTGCTGCTAAACAAGATATTTCCTGAGCATTTACTGACAAGCCACAGCTCAAGCGCGGTGTTTTCACCCTCGAGATCATCTGCGATATGTTCGTCTACGGTCTCTGGATTGCTGCACTCTGCCTAGGCGCCTTCTCCCTTGTCATGTTCGGCTTTGGCGATGGCAACCTGGGATTCAACTGCAACGAGACGTACAACCCCACTTGCGAGACCGTGTTCCGCGCCCGTGCGACTACTTTTGCCTGCCTTACCTGGTTCTCAGTTTTCCTGGCATGGCAAATGTTGGACATGCGCCGCTCGTTCTTCATGATGCAGCCTGGATCGAACAAGTACTTTACGCAATGGGCCCGCGACGTCTGGCGCAACAAGTTCCTCTTCTTCTCAATTGTCTTTGCGTTTGTCACCATCTTCCCCGTTCTGTACATTCCCGTCATCAACGACAAGGTGTTCAGGCACAAGGGAATTAGCTGGGAATGGGCTATTGTCTTCATTGCCACATTCCTCTTCTTCCTCGGCATTGAGTCGTGGAAGTGGGGCAAGCGAGTCTACTTCAGGAGGCGCGAGGCAAAGAATGGTGGTGGAAGGAGGGGCTCCATTGATCTGGAGCAGCGTGTGTTTGAGCGATACCTCAGCACAGCCATTAGCACCGATGAGGATGCGGCAGACAAGAAGTCGTCTGCTTAGGCGTGCAAGTGAACGATTTGGAACTATGATACCAATGCTATGTCTTTATTTGGATTTTAAATTTATTATGGCAGAGGGCAATCTGCAAAGGGGAGTTTGAATTTGTTTGCATAGCATGCGATTACGATGATACCTTGGGCACCCTGTGCTGGGACAGATGAGATTTTCTAGTTATATTACGTACATAGTAATCAAGACATGATAAATAACAATAGTATTGGGTTCCTACACCTTTGTGACTGAGGGCGTTGATACGACTGCGGGTTCGTTTACTCCGTACATACAGCATAGCAGCGGTAGAGTATGGTGCCCACTCTTATGCCGAAGATAACCATAGTAATCAATCAGCTTGGCCGTATGCCAATATATCCTCGAGTTAGTTCATTGGCCTAGGACTGCTTCTTCTCAAACCTTGTGTAGCCGTGCAGTGGGCTGCTGCTGGTTAGGCGTCCCACCGTGATCCACAGGTGGCCTTTTGGACTCGGTTACGCGGGTGGGATGGCTTGGCAATTTTTTTCCGCTCCACTCCGAACCAAGGCCGATAAAGTGGGTCCTCTGAGCGCCCAGGGATCGCTAACAGCCAAATCGCATCTCAGGCTTCTTCTGGCAAACGTCAGCCCAGCCAGCCGAGACTGCGCACTATTGAAGGCCCAAGACAAGGCAAGGGTGGGTGTGTGGCTGGTGGAGCGGAGTTGTCTTGGACATGCGGATTGATATAAGAGGAGGTATCAGCTGCATGTCGAAACAAGACCTGACAGATGTTTATCTCGAGGATCAACGTGACATGACAAGGCGTAGCGCTGTCACGGCAATAAATCCCCGGGCTAGGAGTGTCCAGCATACTGACTGTGTGTAAGCCCACTGCACCCACTGCAGAGTTGCGCGGGTTGCCGAGTTTGGCCATCAGTAAGAAAATAGCCACCACACGGTCAATACGACCAACACGACCGTATGCGGTCGAGTGGCTTGCAGACCGGTCACTTATATACTGTGTGGTCGAATAGGGCTAAGAACCTGGAGAGCGAAGCTGACAATGGACGACGTGGCTTTGGAGGCTGTGTGGATGGAGATGTCATACACCCCAGGTGGAGCCTCGGATAAGATCAAGTCCGGGGTCCTATGTCTCTTAGGTCATAACCCATTGCGAACCTCCCCACCTGCTCACCCAAACCCAAACCAAACTCACCTTGTCACCCGCCGGCTACCGCGGAAATAGCAACAAAAAGGGCATTTTGCACCTGGTCCACGACCAAACGACTTATCGCCAGGGTATTCCATCTCGAGGCCATCGGTTGCACGCGCAATCCATTCCTGCCGACTTAGCCGCTTGCGTCAGTTCCGTCGCCCTGCGTTCCCCGCAACGTGCCTCTCCACCTGCATCGCTTTCTCTCCGATCCGATACCAAGACCAAGTAGACCGCAACTTGCCATGCCAGCAGTTTCTGGTGAGCACGATGTGCATTTTCTCCATGCGCGAGAATGGCAAAAGACTGTCGGCAACTCGGGCATGACGCCTACTGCATTTAGCTTCTTGATTCCTGTATTTGTCGTGGCCATCATAGCGCCTTTGTAAGTATTTCCAAATCTAGATAACCATCCCATCTCTATGCGAATCACCGTCTTTGGCGGGCGATTGTAAAACGAACTATTCCGACCAACGGTCAATATATGAGACGTTTGGGTTAATTGAATGGACAGTCTATGCATCTTTTGCATTCGCAAACGACGGCGAACACAGATTCCTGTCACAACACGGCCAACAACAAAAGTCAAGAAGCCTGCGCTTAGACGAGAAGAAGCAAGAGAAAAGCTTAAAGAAGTCACTGAGATGTCTTCGCAAGCAAGCGATGTTGGAGAAGAAAACCGAGAGAGGCCCGAGGGAGAATCCCAGTCTATATCCGAGAAAGAATGGTATGCCAACCCATCATTCCGCATAGCATTGACATGAATTCTGACACACCCATCAGTGCCATATGTCTCTCAGCCCTCTACCCACCATCGCTGCCAGAGCCTGCGAAACTCTCACCAGAAACACCTAATGCCGACACTCCCGCACCTTCGTCCGTGACATCCGATCAACCTCCATCCACCAGCCCAACCACCACCACTGCCACCCCTCCCACCTCCACCCCCCAATCCGACTCGGAACCCATCCTTAAACTCACCGTTTGCTCCCATGAGTTCCACGCTGAATGTCTCGTATCCTGGTTCGTCCTGCGCAAAACCAGCTGCCCCATCTGCCGCTCCATGTACATGAGCAAAGAAGAAATGGACAAATACGACGAGGAAGAGCAAATCGCCCTCGGCGGCACTCCCTCTACCACCGTCGCAACGCCCACTCTGGATCTCGAAGCGCAGCAGACGGCAGCGCAGCCGGAAGCAACGGCTACGGTGCGCAACTGGCAGTACTTTTTGTACGGCCGTGATGCATATCGGCGGGCGAGAGAGAGACAGACTGGGGCGCAGACGCAGAGTCAACCTGCCGTCGAGATGCAAACTCAGTCTGCGACTGGTGGCGAGGAGAGCCAGCAATCTGATACTGAGGCTGCGCCTGTGCCTGCTGAAGCGACAACACAGCAATCGGAGCAGCCGGCTAGATCAAGATGGCAACGATTGTTCAGACGGGGCTGATATCGTTCCACCACTGCGACATGACCGATACGACCTCGACCTTTGACGAGAAATTTTCACGTTTACCTATTGTACATCGTTCTTTCCTCCTTTCCCTCTCCCTCTTCCTCTCGTTCTTTTCTGGGAATTCTTTACTACAAATGGGTTGTATGTGAATATATGATTTCGGCGGATATATATCGTGTTTCGTTTTTTTTTCTCCTCACAGTCTGCACAGAGTTTGAGATACCCAGAAATGGTCTTTTTCCTCTTCAAAGGGAATATTCTTTTTGCTACGATTAGGTGTTTATCGTTTTTATGGAAAGTCAAGAGTAAATACTGGGTATATGGTACAGAATGTATTATAACGCACATATGAAATAATGATATTTCTTACCAAAGGAAAAATCAAGTGTTGTATTAGGGCTTGCACGCAAACTTGATTGAGATGATTAAAAAATTACCTTCACACAGAAAACACCAAGGATTCAAGCCAATCATACATCTATTATTGACACATGGACAAAATGGGGGGTATTTAGGTGAACAAAGACAAAAATCCCACCACCATCTACCAATAACACCAATATCTACCATCTAATTCAAAAAGGCCTTTTTTCTTCACCACATCTACTCCTTTGGTTTAAACACACGATGCCTAGCCAACAACTGCGAAATCATAAAATGCGATACGTCCTCGTCCGCCCAATACGTCATGTGACTAGCAATACTAGCCAGAAGTGAAATGTCAAAAGCCTATATTGTCTCAATGTTAACACGCATGATACCGAAGCAAATGAGAGACACAGGGTACTTACACCTTCCTGAATACTATAATCCACTCTCCCATTTGAATTCAACCGGCGTACTTTTTGTTCCTCCTTTTTCAGCTTGCGGCTTCGTTCCTCAAGCTCCTGCCACTCAAGATCCTTTTCAATGTCGTGTTCGCCGTCGTCTGTCTGTTGGCTCTTTCTGCGTTTCTGGAAGCCGGCAAAGAGGGTTTCAATGTCGGATTCGATCAGGGTGGGTGGATGCTCGCCGTCTTCGCCCTCGGCAATGGTTTCTTGGCCGAGGCGGCGGCGGCGTTCTTCGCTGATGAAGGCGCTCGTGGGCTCGTTGAGACCTGGGACGAGGTTTACGTTGCCGGAATTGGGAGCAGCAGTCAAGGGGCGAGAAGATCTTTGGCCTTGGGCGCTGCCGGTCATGTCGGATCCTGAGATGCCCAGACTTCGGTTGAGTAGTCCGCTTGCAATGCCTGTAAAATATTTCGTTAGCATAAAAGAAAACTCTGGGCCATTGTTGAAGAGTCTAGAGTTGATCTCCAAACGTCGACTTTTGGATTAGATCGACACTTACCTGAGCCGAGTGAGGTCCAGAAGTCTGTCACACCCTGACCAACCCGTTGGCCAATGCCAGTGATACCCTGAGCGGCTGGCGTTCCGAAAATGCCCTTTTTCGTATATGGTAGGGGTTGCGCCTTCAGAGTGGACATGGCGGGTGATATCAAAGGTTCAAGACGATAGCTAATGGGATCGGTTGGGTGGAAGATGTTGAAAACCTGCTTGCAAAGTGGCGAGGAAGTTGTTATATCGAAAGCATGCTCATCGACTTCTGGCGCAAATGGGTCATCAATAGGCGTCGCAGGTGTTACCGGTGGGACAAAGGTAGATGAAGCAGCTTGTGGTCTTCCAGCAATCGTTCTTCCCTTGAGCATCTGGAAAAGCCCGATAGGCGATCCAAGGGCATAGAAATCCTCTACTTCAAAGTCCAGTTTCAGGCCTTCTTCAGTTGATCGCCGTTGTTTGGCTGATTGTGAACTTGGTTTCGCCTTGGGATCTTTTTGCATGCATAAAACATCAAACATGATAGCAGAACCAAGTGAGTGGCCAACAAGACTGACCTTACCCTTGAAAGAAGGATTGCGCTCCTTGAAAAGGTGGTAGGCACGGTTGAGTTCCTTGACAACGATTCGCGAAATATGGCCTTTGTATGCGGGGCTTTGATATAGTAAAATGTCAAGAGCGAGATCTGTAAGAAAGTTACGAACGGCAGGAACACCTTCAACGGTAATATCCTCAAGGTTAGGGTACTCTTCGTCTTCATGGTCGAGATCGCCCAAGTCATGTTCCTTGCGATTATGCTTGAGACTCTGTTTTGGGAAATCTAGAAGGTGTCGCCAAATGATGGGAATGCACTGGATACGGTTGTTCTTGGTTGTTGACTCAACCTCCGCATTGAGAGCCTGTAGGTCGGGTGAAGCTGCATAAACAGACTTGAGAGATTTACGCATAGTGTTCACGTCATGGATGAAGTTGATTGACTCCATGCGCATGCCAAGTCGTTGCCCGATACCATGGGTGACCAGAAGCAGGTGCTCGATTTCACGGCCTT